TCCGGAGATAGGCGGATTCTAATCCGGGAGCTCCGAGGGGGACGAGCGAGGAAATTTTTGTGTACGTACATGAATACGTCCACTCCCTACGGGACTAGTTCCCCATTCAGTGAAAACAATGAGGGTTTCTCGCCAATATGAAACTAGGACCAGCGGGGTGAGGCACGTGTGCGGTAACGAGTAGGGATAACAAGACAGAAAGTAGCGACATCTTGTGGCATACTACCTCATTGGAAGTAGCGACATCTTGTGGCATGTTACCTCCCGTCTTACCTCCCTACCTTTCACCCGCACACGTCGCACCCCCGATGGCCCTCGTTCATTGATCGAGAACTCCCCCTGTCTATCTACTATCGGCTCAAAGTGTGCAAGCATCTCTTACCGCTGGCACTGCGTGCTCGATTGGTATCAGTGCTCATCTTGCCATTTTTTGATTACTGCTGCTCTGCCCTTACAGACATCACGGGAGAACAGAAAATTTGAGGTTGCAGAGGGCTCTTAATGCCTGTGTACGTTTTATTTATCAAGCCAGATGGGATGAGCATGTCACCCCGTATTACAACCGACTTCGCTGGCTTAAAATTCATATGAGGCGCAATTACTTTACGGGTAGCATGATTTTTTCTATTCTGCACTCTGGGATTCCTAATATTCTCTTCAGTGGCTTCGAGTACAGAAGTGATGTGGTCCAGCGAGATACGAGAGCGTGTAAGGACGATCTCCTGATGCCTCTGTGTCGCACAGAGTTTTATAAAGTTTAGATGTAGCGCGGTTGAGTCGTGGAACGGTCTCCTATCTGAGCTACGTAACTCGGAGGCGCGGTGCGTTTTTAGGGCAAAACTGTATGAGTACTTGTTTAACTGCTTAGTTTTATTTTTATTGTTCCTTTCTTTTGTTATCTGCTTTGTTATATTTTAGTTCATGTTAATTTTTTTGTTTTTGAATTCTTTGTTTCACACATGCATCCGTGCATGCATACACATCCACACAACATGTACACACACAAATATACATTAAATCCTACGTATATTTTTTTGTATATCTTTATATGCTGTTGTAATATTGTATTATTAGAAGCATCATTTGCATATGTATATATTGATGTAATTTCTATTCTCTGCGCTTAAGAGGATCTATCCTGAAACGCATAATAAATGGCGATTTCATCATCATCTCTCTCTCTCTTTCGCGTCGGGCGACGCGCCGCGTCGCGCGTCGTCGTGGGGTGGGGAACGATTCGCGCGAGACACGCTCGCACCGCGAGGAAGAGCGATCGTACGGAAGAGAAAAAACCGCGACAACCTCTTCTTGTCGCGCGCCACGAAAGCGCTCGAGAGCTCGGCTTGACAACCGAACGAACCGACACCGCGGAACAATCTCGTCTCGTCTCGCTCCCCGAGGCGACGCTCTCACCGTCGCCGTTCGCCGCGCGCAACCGA